ATATATATATATATATATATATATATATATATATAGTGCATATATATATATATATATATATATATATATATATATATATATATATATATATATATATATATATATATATATATATATATATATATATATACTTGTTTTGTTGTAGTAGCAAGATATATTTTAATTTTAAGATATAAATATATATATATATATACGGATCATGCGTGATTCACTAGCTATTAACTTTGGTTAATATATAACCTCATTATATCTGCAAATGTAAACAAAGCAAATTGACCACTAAGAATTTACGTTACATTTTTGTGATAGCGGTATACGTTAGTGGTAGTGGAGAGCCTGAGCTTGGAAACTCCTATTAGATTTGTGATGACGTATAATTACTGTATTATGTTGACTGCATAGATTTTAGGATCGTTAGTGGGGTTGTAGGTGGGTGTGCGTAATCATCCTTTACTTGCAGCTGAGAGATAAACTAAATTGCGAAGGCCACAGCTCAACCTGATTGAGTCGAAGCCCCACTTTGGCAGCAACCTAATGACTCATGTCTGATCACGGAGGACAGCTACGATCAGTTAAGGGCTAATTCCAACCCATCCTGTCAACATTCTGGAGGAAACTGAAATACTAGGAGAAAACCCACGACTTTCGGTAGACCGTTGACTTACTCTTTTTGTGTACGTGTCCATCCCCGTTCCCAGGGCTTCTCGACTGATAGAGCTTTTTCCAGTATATTATAAATAAAGTATGTTTTGTTCAGTTATACAAAAGACTCTTCTTTCTAATCATCCTTGCATGAAATCATTGTCCTAATTCAAAGAACCCAGCTTGCCGTCTATTTTCCCCCATTTCTCGGTAGTTCAATAACAACTTAGTTTCATTTTGGTTCGCTTTGTCCAATTATCTGCTTTCAAACAGGTTAAAAAAATGCTGCCTTGCATATTTTAATAAGATCTGTCGCATTACCTTTCTTTACGCGTTCATACTTGCGCATATACTTCAGTCCAACATCTGTGGCTTGAACTGGCTTCGACGCCACTGAAATCATATAGCTGGAAAAATATTACATAGGTAAGTCTTCGAACTATTTCAATACTGTCATTCAGTTCATTGTCGAACTAATTCAATCTAAGAAACATTTTGAATTCCTCTCATCTTAAGAAATCGTTATATCATACTTCCTTATCTGTCATTTGAGATTGTGAAGTGTTGTACAGTGTTCAAATTTGATGTATATACGATCGAATTGTCTATTCTTAATCAGTTTTTCTAGCTCTGTCTATAGGGACGCTTGAAACACATAAACGGAGCCCTATACCTGTGGAAGCAGGTGTTTTCATGTTATATACTAGCTTTATTAAAACGTTCGCCTCAAAAGCCGAAAGCTTTTCAATTCAATTCAATTTTATTTCACTATTTACAGGATTTTTCTCAAGTAAAGTAATATTACAAAAGTAGAAGAAAATAATAAAATTATTAATGTGTACTTTATAAAAGATTGTGAACGGCAACCAGAGGAGCCGAAGCTTTCGAGCTGGTTGTCAAGGAAACTCACATGAAATAACAATTTTTTAAAGTATATGAACAAAAAAAAAAAACAAGACAAGGGACAACTAACAACAGAAAAAACATATCGTACATGCAAGTATCACAAGGTGGGCTTCATATAAATGTCCCAAAATTACGTCACTATAACTTTGGTGTACTGTTTAATGCTAGGATTAAATTAGGATTAAGATTAGGACTGGAGCTCGGATTAGGTTTGATGGGTGATCCATCTCTTGTCTACATAAAACCGATCAATATTTTCATGTAGGTACAATCTGTACAAGAAGTATAATTGAAACTCTCCCGGCTGCAGTAGATATTGAAGAAATAATCTAAGAGTTAATTATATACAAGAGAATATTGTTGTGTTGTCAATAGTAATACAGTAGTTTTGATGTACTGATGGTTTTTTCCGAGTTTAAATAAAGTGTAGGTATGTGTGTGTGTGTGTGTGTGTGTGTGTGTGTGTGTGTGTGTGTAGAATGTCCGCATTCATTCCAAGCAGACATGATGAAGAGGTGAACAGAAGAGCTTTCTCTCAAGTTAGAGGGGACAGGAACGGGAGGTCGCAGATGGCTTTGATGGCACGTGGGTAGCACACCCTGACCTCGTGCAGGTTAGTACAACCACAGAAATTCTTCAAGCATGAACATTCGACTGCACTTCATTGCCTCGAAATACAACACAACACATAATCCGATGACTGCAGGTTGACCATCATCTGCTGTGCGATATACCTAGTGAGACTGGTAGTGATGGTATTGATGATACGTGATAGGTTATGGTGATTTTAGTGATGATGGGTAATGATGTTGATGGTGATGATGATGAAAATAACGGGTCTTTCTTTTCAGGTTGCAAGAGGAATGTTTGTCCAAGGCATGCATAATTCAACCGTCAAAAACATCGCTTGAAAGATGATGTCCATGACCTCCTTGGACATCTATTGTAATTAACTCATTCGTTGTTTGGATGGGTTGATTACGATAGACATCGAAGGAGGAACGATTACTGAAGGAGTCAGAAAGAATACTGGTGTGGCTCTCAAGTATATTAATGGTGGCTTCAGATATGTAGTGTCTCTCGTATCCAACCAAAGGTAAAGTACGTGTATCAGAACGTGCGAAATTTCAAAACAGAGAGTAGGAATAAAGTGCATGGATTGAAGCTTTTAATTTTTCCTATTAATTCACTTAGAAGCTGCCGTGGTTTCAACTACCTGATAAACAATGGAAACACGTCATTACTTCGAGCAATGGCCATTTTAATCATGACAAGATGCTTCAAACACAAACACCCCACAAGTGGAAAAAGCAAGCTAGCTAGGTTGACTATCACGGCTCAATATAGTATTACAATATTAAAAGTAATGCATATACATACATGGCAGGAAATAGGACTCTCCTTCGGGTATTATTCAACAGAAGCAAAGCAAAAGGACTTTTATCACAAAGAACTTGTTCAATAACCTGACGAGTTTTTCCTCTCGATGTTTTGTTTGGAACTTTTTTCTGTACACAGAAAAAGCCAAAAAGTTACAGGAACGTACCCTACAATTTAATCCCTCCACCATTTTCATCATTTTTCCAGGGTCGAGGAGTGAATGTAATGAACAATTTGATGGAGGCCACAGCGACCGCAGAAATCTCCCGAGGACAACTCTGGCAATGGCTCCGACATTCTGTGATCCTGGACAATGGAGAAACCTTCACGCCTAACATGTACAGAGCAATACGCGCTGAGATACTACAGCGTGAAGGCGGGAGTGGAAAAGAAAGATTGCAACAAGCTGCAGAGATTTCGGATTATTTAGTTTTGTCCAGTGAGATGGAAGAATTCATGACATTACCTGCTTATAAACTGCTTGATAATCCACAAGCAAAACTACAGTGTTGACGTATCTCATACCCAGTCGTAGAACTTGAGTGTGTAGTTCGAATGACGATGTTCATACCGCAAAAGGTTGTAAAATTGTTATTGCACGTAAAACATTTCATTCTCCAAAAAAACATTTCGTGGCTTTGCACGATAATTACTAATTTTTTCAACCATGAATTTTAATTGATATACAAATGAACTGCTAAAGGCACACATCGTACACACCGTAGTGCTGAATGGTCCTATTAAGGCCCTGTCACACTATTGCGTATCGTACTAGCGTATGCCAGCGTATGAAAAATATCACTCGTACGCCGGTATACGCTGACATACGCTATAGGGGTACGTTAGGCATAGGTTGTATACGTTTCAAGCACGGTCGCATACGCTGGCATACGGCGAGGCAGAAAATTGTTTTTAAGCATGCTCAAAATTTTGTGCGTATCGGACGTATGCTTTATACGATAAGCATACTCTAGACACACGTTGAATACGCTAGAGGTACGCCAGATGTACGGTATCATTTTGATCTGCTCTGCCATTGGGTTTCATAATGTATGTGGTAACCAATGCATAGTGGTGATAAAAAATCAAGCAGCAACAAACAACCAAATCCGCATACCTATTTAATTAAGGTTGGGATAGAGGGATTTCAAACATTTCACTTTATTTTGGATGTCAGGGTGCGATAATTCAATATTTTTAGCCGTACCTGACTGGTACTCCAACCATTTTTGCCGAGTACTTGAGCTGGTACGAACTTAAAAGTCAAGGTGTACCTAAGCCCTAAGGCTACTTCCGAGTCTTGCGTTTTACACATACGTATATAATGCACGGTCTTAATTTGACGGAAAAAATTAAAACTTTCTGAATTTTATATATTTAATAATTAATAAACACTTATAACAAAGTTAACAACCTTGTTTGATCCCAAAATATGTCGGATGTGTGGAATTTACATTGTGCAGCTAAAGTTATTGACGGTTTTGAATACCTTGGAAGGTAGTTATCGCTAGAAGGAAAATGCTAGTTATCGCTAGAAGGAAAATGCAAGTACGCGAATAGCTGATTCTCGTGTACCTACGTGGTACTCGACTAAAAACAAAGAAGTACCAGACCGTAATTTTGGCGTACCTCTGGTACGTTGGTACGCGAATTATCGCACCCTGGATCATGTAATCCGTACACTTTGCGTGTCAAACAGCTGATGACCATATGTTGCGCATGCAAGGCAAAGCACAGTGTCACATGCAGTGACACCCAGTTTCCAGATCATGCGTGATTCACTAGCTATTAACTTTGGTTAATATATAACCTCATTATATCTGCAAATGTAAACAAAGCAAATTGACCACTAAGAATTTATGTTACACCTTTTTGTTATACCTTTTATATGTTGAACTGTAATATATTCACACTGTCATACTATAGTTTATACATTAATATTATGCATTTCATTAAAGTAAAACAAAATCACAAATATGAATTAAGAAGATGTTGTTCCACATATTCCCAACCCCATCAGTTTCTCAAAATCTTTTTTATCTTCCTATCAGCAACTTTTATTTCATCATCGACATTTTCTACCTTGCCTTGAACTCTGGTAATAATTTCATCATGGCGATCTATTGTTTGCCCCAAAACCATCGCATCGTCTTTGAGGATACTAAGTCCACGAGATATTTCACTTAAATGGTTATCATATTCTCTCTCAAAACTAGCCGTCCCTCGTCCTCTGCCACCGTATTCGCTAAGACAGTCTTGTTCACCGTAATCTAGTTTCAAATCAACATCAACGTTTAAGCTTCGTTCTGGCACTTCTGTTTTAACAGGCTCGAGTTTCGGTTCTGCTTTTATAGGTTTACTAAAGTAGTTACCAATGGCACCCCAAACGCTTTTAACGGACTTGATGTGTCTGTTGGCGGTAGTCATGTTGTGTGACATATCGTCTAAGTTTCGTTCTGTGCGATACAACGCTTCTTCCTGGCGCTGTAATTCTTCGGCTGTCTTGATAGCAATGTCATGGGATTCTTCGATAAGCCCCAGAGAGCGAGAAGTACTCCCCAAGATTCTGTTCTGTGTTTGTTCAAGACGACTTAGGGCTGTATCGTACTCAAAGTCATCCAAATCGTCTCCAAAAGGGTTTGTGGTTTCGTCGTTTCGAGCCGCCATTTTGTTTTGCTTCCCGAGCGCCGGAAGTTAATTATATTCACAGGACCCTGCAGTGATTACGTCATTATTATGTAAATGCGCGTGATATGCTAATGATCAAGTAATAAGTGAATAAGTAATCAGCAGATTTGTTTTTTAATTTCCCAGTTTGTCAGTCAACACCTTCCTTTCTCTGTGTCCAATAGAATTAACTAGCCAATCAACAAGTCAATTATTAAGTAGCCATTTGATCAATTATGATCACTTTATTTCTTTTAAATAGACAGAATTTTATACATCCTAAAATCATGCAATATATTTATAACCAACCTATGTATAAACAATATCGCATACACATTGCAAACCATAACATATCTTTTGTTTCCCCTAGAATAAATTTGACTCTCATTTCAGACAATATTTACAGGTCAATTTTAGAAATTTGTTAAGAGGTTGATACACCTTGTTTAGCTCTTTTTGTTGGTGGTTTGTCAGCCTAAAACAATGGCCAAAAATAATTGTGTAATTTAGTATTTACCAAAGGCAAAGATTCCAATTTTCAACAGCTACTTGCAACTAATCCAATGTCTAAAAATTGACAGAAGCAACATACCTTATCATTTGAATGGTTCCCTGATGGTGCTGTTATGCTAAACGAGCCCGACGATTCATTAATAACAATTTGTGATGGTTCCGAGGGGCTCTTTCTAGTATTAGATTCTGAGACTTCACTGTCTGTGACACTTTGAAAACTCTGGCGGCTGTCTTCATTCTCGCCTGCTACATTCATTCCCAAATGGTACATGAGCAGTGCACTGTCCTCGCTAGAACAGGAAATGGAACATGTGTTTGTGATGTTGTCTCTGAGGGTGTCCACACTGATCTTGAATTTTTGTTTCTGGTGTTGTTGCTAGACAGAACCAGATTGAGTTCTGAAATATCATCCACTCAAGCTCAGTTGGAAGAGCATTGGACTAGCAAACAAAGTTGCGGGTTCGATTCTTATCGCGGACAAGCAAACCTTTCAGCTTGCCTCGTGTGTTAAAACACACTCAAAGACAACATCACAAATATGTATTTTCACCAGGAGTACATACCACCAGAAACAAAATTCAGGAAATTGAACATTTTGGAATTGAAGTTGGAATCATAAATTAGTATGTTTGCAGTCTTTGTACTCCTAATATTTTGTAAAGTGTCTAAAGCGAGTAGTACTCACTGGTGCAAAATTTGCCACAGAGACGGATTTTCATATTTTCGTTTGAGGGGGGGGGGGATAAATATCTGGGGGGGGTGCTGCTGCTTGCTTTGGCCGGGGCGTGGTGGCAACGCCCGGAAAGGTCAAGGAGAAAGTTTAACAAAATTTGTTTTCTAGGCCTGCATGGCAAGATCTGAGACCATAATATTGGTAATTTTACAAATTTAGTAGTAAATTTAGTAGTATTTTACAAATTTAGTGGGGGTGCCAAATGCCTTTGAGGGGGTGCAAATCATTTCTGGGGGGGGGGGGTGCGCACCCCCCGCACCCCCCAGAAAATCCGTGCCTGATTTACCAGTGTCATTACCACTGAAAAGCAAGACATTTATAATGATTTTCTACCTGGCAACAGACGGCGCATGATTGCTGTCGTCTCCTTCATCCTGCATTACTTTTCCAGTTTGTCTATTTAAACTCACACCATTTTCTTTGCTATTTTCTGAAGGAGTTTTGACAAATTGATTTTGTTGTACTCTTTCGTTCTCCTTGCCTGGCAAATTATCATCCACAGTCAAAGGACTGCTCGTGTCCGACATAGCATCTGTAATTCCAGCTGCAAATGAATTCACATATGTATGTTAGAATTGTGTGATTTGAATTTCCTATTCAAAGCATTTGAGAATAAAAAGATCTTACCTGGTATATTATTTTGAATTGTGTTTACCTAAAATTGATTGATTTTGCACTTTTAAAGAAATCATGTGATGAAAAGCACTGGGCTAATTAATTAAAGTAAAAAATATCTTAAATTAACATGACATGACATAACATAAGCACAACTTCAATGCAAACATACCTTTTTTAAGTCATCATCTGACACTACAGAGAAAGAAAATACAAAATCATCACATATTAAATAATGACAAGACTTGCAAATCATAGCAAAGTCCATTCATTTACTGTATTTAAAAGGAAGGGTACTGGGGTAGAAAAATTTCTGGTGGGCTGCAAGCGGCACCACTCAGTGAGCGTTGGCAGGGGTTGGACGTTTGGGTTAAAGCCTTTCACACAAAATAGGAGGGATGAAGCAAAATCTTGGTGGAGTTAAACACTTTATTAGAGGGGTCACAGAGATTCTAGGGAGGGGGTTTAACCCCCCCCCCCCTAACCCACCAGTAAGTATTATAGCCTATTCACAACTTTAGATATAGCCAAATTTGTTGTCATCTGGATAATTGTCAATTAATTACCTGGTACCCATTTATAGATTTTCAATGAACAACCTTCTGCATCTGAATTCACCCATTTCTTCTCCCTGGAATAGAGAATTCAATGTGCATTTGAACTTTCAAGTTTTTCCCTGCTTTTGTACTTGCATATTAAAGCCTGTTTAACAAACTATGAAATAACAATATTTTAAAACATTATACTACAGCGAAACGTTATGTTTCAATTTGTAAAATTACAATAACAATTTAATGTGTTTTCAAACTTGACTTTTTAAATATAGTCTTACCATTTTCGAACATGTTCAACTGTCAGCATAACACGTTTAACGAGCTCTTCTTTATTTGCCCTGGTACTCCGTGTTTCTAACCGCGAAATTCCGCTTCTATTCATTGTGAAAAACACAAAATCCTCGCACAGAAACAAAAAAAATTCAAAAACAATAAATTTGTATTTCCATTCAAAAGTGGTGCTTTTCTTCTTCGGAAACCTCCGGAAACGGTTCGCAATTTGTCGTGAACCACTGACCGGAACCTGCTTTTACTGGAGTGACTTTCAAATTTTCGGAAATATATATTTTTCTACGTGGAAGTTATCGTATACAATTAGAAAACATGGCTGGAAAAATGTACACATGGGAGATAACATCTGCCTTTTTTAATATGTGAAAAACAAACCAATATTGAAACCTACATTTAAAACAAGAAACAGACGTATGAATTTATCACGGAACCTGTATGTAGCCGACCTCTTTAGCACGTTTCGCAGTTCTAAACGTATATGGTTTCAACTTAAGCTCCTCCCTTGCGTAATACTTTGCAACAAGGGCTGTTTGACAAGGACAGTGGCTCATGTAAATCAGGCCGTTTTGGACAGCGTTGAAAACGAATGGAAACGTAAACTTAGCAATATTAAAGATAGAGGAAATGCTATATTTGTGCTGGGACCAATGGGCGCAGGAAAATCTACAACCATTGAAAATTACTTTAAAAATCACACCGAGTTTAAAAGCTTTGCCTATGTGGATACTGATGAAATAATGGGTGCCATAGACGCCTTCACTGCAGATAGGGTGGATGTCTACTATCCCCTTGCGAGAAAGATTGCGATTAGTTTGACGGATTGGATTTTGATGCAGAACATTAGTTTTGTTGCAGAAGGCACTTGCGTCAAGTATGAGGAATTGATAGAATATATGGAACGATTAAAAGATACTGGTTATAGCATTCATGTTAATCGTCTCCCACCTGTCCCGCTTGCTGAGATCCTACACCGTTCAAAGCATCGAAAGAATAGAATTATCCCGGACGATGTTGTCGCCTCGATATATGCCAATGCAACAATCGGTTTGAATAAATTATATGAATACAACAAGAAAGTTGATTATAAATTGTTCAATGATTTAGATATCTTGCCAGGGTCACGAAAGAATAATAATAAACATGCAAAGCCATGCAGCGCAAGCCAATAAAATTGGCAAATTTAGTAGTAAATATGACAGTGGTGATTAAATGGTACAATTTAGTGTCAATTATCTGTGGTGGTATAATAATTAGGATGGTTTCTTTGTACATTTGATGTAGTCGCATATCATTCTTGCACGAGACAATTTTGTCACACGAAAAGTGTTGTGCATTATGCATTATTTAATTTGTCAACTACAATTCAACTTCCCCAAACTTATGTTTTTACTTACTACCTGCACATTTGCAATGGTTATATCTTGTAAAAATAGTCTTTGAGTAATTGTTTTTATCTGAACTACCTGTGGAAGTTATGAAAACAATGTATCGTTTACCATGTGCTTATTTTGCATATTAATACCAACTAATTAATCCTTAATTTCAAATGATTAATATCCAAGATTTGATAATTTACAACATAATTTCCACATATTCCACCTATAATCAATTTTGTCTTATGATTTGTTAGGCAGTAGCCTGGGCACATAGTTTAGGGAAATGTTTCTGGACAGGTATGCATATTTAATAATTTATGGCGTTTTGTGAACAAAATTGAAGAAATAAAGTTTTGATTAAATCTAGCAGAAGTGTTCATTTGTTATAGCAGTGTTGTTTCAACTCACCTTCAATACTTTTCAAAAGTAGCTTCAGTTGGTACTTCAGATTTCAGAAACTGTTAGAGCTACCTTGATAAAATAAGTCTTCATGTTCAAAATAAAAGAGTGTTGCTCAGTATTGTGGAAAAAACATCAGGGAGGCACCTTAACACAATTTTGTTGCTTGGTGTTCTTCAAAGTTATTGAAAGCCACCTTAATATGATTTTGCTTAGTGTCTTCAAAAACACTACTGAGAGCCACCTTAATACTATTTTTGTTGCTCAGCATAGAGCCACCTTAATATAGCTGTGGTAATTAGAAAACTTTTGGTAGCCTCCTTTATAAAGATATTTGCAAACGTGTAGTACTCTTCCCAACCTAATTGAAAATTTTTTTCTGCGGTTTTCTCACAGAACTGAGACGGTATAAACACAGTCCAAACAACAAAATATAAGAGAATAGTTTTTATTGTGTGAACAAGGTAAATAAGACTACGTGCACACGGTAACGTTTTCGAGCGTTTTCATTTGCGTTTTCACGCTAAAACGGATGCGAAAACTATTAATTTACGACTGAAGCTGTAGTTTATTTAATATATTGGAGATATTTTCCTTTGAACCACGTGAACAGCGCATCAAAGCGATTAAAGGGACAAAAACGTTTTTGAAAACGCTCGAAAACGACGCCCGTGTGCACATAGCCTAAAACTACACATACAGTATACAACTTCCCCCTAAAACAAGCCCACATATTTTTTTCATTTTTTAAATAAAATTTTTTATGTACATACATACAGTTTTTTTATAAACATTTTTATATTTTTACATGTATTAGAGAGCTTTCATTTTACAGTAAGTACACCTAGGTTACATATGCTTGATAAAAACAATTATAAATTTGGAGATATTACTACACTGACACGAAAAAGGACGAGTGAATTATATTCCGAAATGGGAGACGTAGTCGAATGATAGTGAAATGGGTGATCTCGCACGGCACAGTGCTTGCAATACATGCAGAGTTACTCTGAGTTACAATGGTCCAATATGTACTCAGGGTTCGTACATGAAGGTCCGGAAGAGTTAGATTCAAGGACTTTTCAAGGACTTTCAACGCCATGTATCAGGATATTCAACTAGGACTAAAGGCTGAAAAGAAGGCGTTAGAAATCAACTTTTAATGAGTTTTGAACGGCAACTTTAATGAACTTCAAACAGCTTTGGCCTTTGTAAGATATGAACAAAATCAATTTACAAAATGTCCAATTCTTAATTGCCAAGCAATTTCAGAAAAAGCAATTTCAGTAAAACAAGAACAATTTAAGGACTTACAAGCACTTCTTTATAAACTGAAGGACATTCAAGGCCTTGAATTTTTGTTTCCAAATTCAAGGACTTTCAAGTTTTGTACGAACCCTGTGTGCTAGTGACAAATGATAAAAAAATAGTTGGAAACGGATCATCAGTGAAGACGCTATCTATGCAACCGAGTTCCTGTTTTTCGCTTCCGCGACACGGGATGCGAGAAGACCTAGCACAATTCGCAAACATTGCAACCATTCTTGCATTTCGAGCGGCCCTTGATCTAACTATGTACATCGATGTTTTTGTTTTACTTTATGCCTTTGGGATGAACAATGAAGATATTTGGATGTGTTAGGAAATACATGTACTAGAAGTTTGGGTAAGGTTACTTTATGAATTTAGGACTGAGACCAAGTTGACGAACATCGCTAGGCCTTCTCCCGCGGTTCAAAACCGACCAAGTCAAGCGGGAAAGCCTGAAACTAGGCTACTGCCCATTTGTGTAAATAAAGCATTAGACGAGCTAACAGAAAAATCTAAGAGATCCCCCCTCCCCTACACAAGACACGAAAAGTCTCCCTGTCCCCTCCCCCTGTTTACCTGAGTCAGCTCCACTCTGGTGACAAACTGGAGGACGAGTTCGCAGGACTTCCCTGGGGCGAGTTTGGAGGAAACACACACACATCATCACTGTCAGAGTCGGGTGAACTTCGGGAAGTGTCGTTCATAGCATCGGCTAGACTCTCAATGAGTTTTCCATCTTCTGGCGCTAGCCCTTCGACATCTTCCGGCCACGATTGGCAAATGTCCGTCAAGCTCTCGGGACCATTATCGACAATCATCGTATTCTCTCCGTAGTTTACCCGAGCACTCGCAAGGACATAACGAGACTTGGGGGTCGGTAAGGGATCCGAGCGAACCGGTTGGATTCTCAAGGATTGGAGGTCAAGTTCTTCTGTGAATAGGTCCAGTGTATCTTCGTCTTGTCTGTGAGCTTTGATCGTAGCACCGCCTGATTGACTGTCGGCTAGCGGGCTGCCGCTTGTCAAGGTTCCAGGAGGTTGGAAAGTCTTGAAGGCAAACTGCGGGCCCATCCACAGCCGTCTGTGTGGAGGTGCGTGCGTCTCGATCTCAATGTTAGCTAGCCAGTTGTCATCGGCACGGCTGTCGTTACGAGCACTCTCAGAACTGCTTTTATCTTTTACGATGTCTGTGCCAAAAATACGAGCAAAACATTTACGTGATGAAACGATTTGGTAATTAGTTTTGTTCATCACACAACAATAAGAGAAAGTTAAAAAGTATCAAAAGGTAAAGTAAGATTGGACTTACCTGAAAAATTTATAACTGTCGAATTTAAAAATTCAAAATATTATGTAAAAATGTTGGTGCATTCATAAAGTTGGCAATGTTGCGCAAGGACTGATGTTTCATTGAAAATTACCGAATTTAAACTGAACTGTACCTACCATGTGAGCTATTCTTTGGTTTGTTCATATTAATCATACTCTTGCACAGAAGAACGTCTTTCGATAGTAGATTCTTGCTTTCTGGCATTGTCGCATGTCTGGAGACAAAATAAGAACATATAGGCTCAATAAAATCCTGCGAAGGTTTGTAGTAGGTCGTAGATGGCTTTCGCTAAGCAGCAGATTGTATATATTTCCTTGTTCCTATAAGTGTTAATATTTCTGTAACATTTACTGGAAATCCACCCAATAATTTAACCATTTAAATCGCAAAGATTACACTTGCCATTTGTAGAAAAAACTAAAAGATGCATTGAGATTCTAACCTGCAAAAGATCCACCTTCCCTTTCCCTCGGCCACAGCTTGAAACGGCATATCCTCACTCTGCGGGCTGTTCTTTAACGGTTGAATATCAACATTAAATTCAACTAGAGAACCGTAGTTACTGATAACAAACAGCGGATCGACAGGAGACTGACGGGATGTATCTATAGAGATAAAGCTTCGATTCAGATCTTTGACGGAATAGAGAAAGAAATTAGAGCAGCAGGGAAAACGCTTGGTTGCAATATAACAAGGCTGGTCTTTACTTGTCTTTAAACCAAGGCCGGATTTTGGTGGAAATAGAGGAAGGTGGAAAATATTAGGTTCATAGTATTTCTTTTCACTACAGTCATAGTATAACCTTGTATCTTGCGGCTAATATAATTATATAATTGAGAAATCTTGTTTATTTCACTTGCTCATGTAGACGCGTGTCAACGTTTGTGTTGTATACTTGCCTATCCTACTGGGTGGATTGGCATTTCCAGCAATCCACGCCCTAGACGATGCAAACTGTGCTGATCCACCAACAGGTTCAGTTAAGAACAACCCATTCGCTCTGGTGTTAGTCGGTGAGCTGCCAGCACTGTTGCCTGCCGTGTTACATCTGAAAATGAAGAGGTAAAAAGAGATATCGCTATACGTTTTACATCCCATTTGTTGGTAGCAGTGCTCAGTACATGTGTCTTTCCAGACCTCTGTGACCGAGGGTCGATTACTGACAGGGGTGTAAGAACTGGCGGGGGGGCAAAGTGCCCTTTGCCTTCGTGAAAAATGTTGTTCAGATTTCATTTTGTATGATTGCAGTCCCCCCTCCCCGTCGCCAACATTTCCGGAAAAAATTTTCAGGTGCCCTTTTCATTCCAAAAGTACCCCTCGAAACCGCCCCCCCCCCCAATCTTTTGATGCTTCCTATGCCCCTGATTACTGAAACATGAAGTTGTTTGGTTATAATTTCACCTCAGTCTCATGTGAGAAGAGTGCTTCCAGTTGACTCTACCAAACGGTAACAAACATGGCAGATTCTCTCGCAAGAACTCCGGTTTCCTCCTGTAGTAATTCTGGATCAACGATCCGAACAGTTTAGAACTGATAGAGCTATCCAGTATAAATACAGTTAGTTTAGTTTAGGTTTCCTCCTGTAGTAACACTGGATCAATAAGAGATGATCCCTACTGGACCTCTAGGAAGAACAGTTTAGAACTGAAAAAATAGAGGCAGATGCGCGGCCAGGATGAAACATAATAATAAAATAGACGTTCTCTGACCAAAAAATATATATTTATTACAAGCTTTCGGCTACCAATCTGTAGCCTTCAACGGGTATGAGTGTATGAAATATGAAACTATAGTCTATTATTGTATATACAGAAAGATTTGCATAATTGCGTATGAAATATGAGTGTGTATTGTCAACTATGACTGCTTTTTTATAAGAACAGTATATTGTCCGGGAAGTGAACATGAATTGTTGTCAGCATCAGTTGTTAAGGCTGTATGCCATGACTCTAGAGTTTTTCGGGTCCTAAAATTTCCCTTATCGATAACTTCCGCGTTTTCAAAGTCAATCCTGTGGTCATAAGTCCATGCATGTTTTGCTACATTAGATCCAGTCTTGAAGGCTACAGATTGGTAGAAATTGTAATAAATATATATTTTTGGTCAGAGAACGTCTATTTTATTATTAAGTTTAGAACTGATAAAGCTATCCAGTATAAATAAAGTTAGTTTAGTTTAGGTTTCCTCCTGTATAACACTAGATCAATAAGAGATGATCCTTACTGGACCTCCAGGGAGAACAGTTTAGAACTGATACAGCTATCCAGAATAAATAAAGTTAGTTTAGGTTTCCTCCTGTCGTAACACTGGACCAATATTAATAAAGAAGGGTCCTAAATGGACCTCTGGGTAGAAAGAACAGAGTAATCAGGAACTTACCGGGAAGACGCACCCAGTTTGATTTGAATATAAGGCGACACAACGTCAGGATGTGGTAAAGGTGGCATACGTGGATTCACCAGACCATTCTTGCCAACCAGGAGGCAATCCTTAGCAGTGGTCAGTGGACCTAGAGGATTGCTACTGGGTGACCCAGGCTGTATAAGAGTGGGAGGATTTCCACAGCGACTACGTTTGAGATCTTCCAAGCCAGCACTTGTATGAAATCTACTGCTACGGTTTACAACACGATTCGAGTTATGCGTCCGTAAACTTACACCACCTTATAAGATGAGAGAGAACACCTCTGTTTATATACAGGAAAACCTGACTGGTACTGTGGTACGCCAATGGTTGTTACCGCGTACTTGCGCTAGAACAAACTCAGTACTCAATGTGTACTTAGTCTTTATTACGAAAGTCACCGAACTATGGAATCGCATCAAAAATTCGTATATCGACCACTCCCACAAACGTCTACGACCGCGCCTACATAGTTTTGCACGTTTACAATTCTAATTTTAAACAGCCAATTACCAAGAACCTGATTGGCTGTTCAAAATTAGAATTGTAAACATGCAAAACTATGTAGTCGAATGTAGGCGTGGTCGTAGACGTTTGTGGGAGTGGTCGATATACGAATTTTTGATGCGATTCCACAGTTCGGTGACTTTCGTAATACAATAAGGTTCATAAAGTACAGGTTTCTGAAAAGTATGTTCAGACTACGAGGTAGCAAGCGGAGTTTTGCTATTTGAAAAGGGTGTTTTGCTATTTGAAAAGGGAGTTTTGCTATTTGAAAAGGGAGTTTTGCTATTTGAAAAGGGAGTTTTGCTATTTGAAAAGGGAGTTTTGCTATTTGAAAAGGGAGTTTTGCTATTTGAAAAGGGTGTTTTGCTATTTGAAATGGGTGTTTTGCTATTTGAAAAGGGTGTTTTGCTATTTGAAAAGGGTGTTTTGCTATTTAAAAACGGAGTTTTGCTATTTCAAACAACCGACTCCAACGTTTCTTAGTGCCATCAGTGCAATCGTGTTTCATGCCAAGACATCTCAGACACATGATATACCAACTAAATTACGGTATTGAATACCTTGGACTTGGAAAGGTCATGTGATACCAGCAAAAAATAAGTACGCAGATAGCAAGAGTTCCGCGTACTTAAGTGGTTGAAAACAAAGAAGTTCCAGACAGTAATATTGGCGTACCTCCGGGTACGCAAGTACGCGAATTATCGCACCCTGCTTAGAAGGATATATATTAAACCACTAAATATAATGATAAAGAAAGAAATTATACGTTCGACAATTTCATGAACGTCCGGAAAATGTATAGAAATTAGCCCCCCCCCCCCAAAATAGCCCCTCCCCTCCGCCGCCAGCCTCATCAGGAGAGTGGATTGGGAGAAAACACTGGGGAAACTTGATGTGGCACATTTGGACAATATAAGTTATCTCAGAAACATATCCCGTCCCTGGATGATCTAAGCTTAATATCGTGAAGAACTGCTAGCAATGTCCCAACTGCATGTACAAATCGTGCCGCTCTTGTAACGATATACTTCCCCTAATATCATAGTCCAAGATTCATGATCAGTTCTTACCGCCATAGGATGTTATAGGGAAGACATGAGATGTTCCTCTTTGCGTGGTCACTGTAACCCAGCGAGAGTCGTTACTGAACGCCACATTACATACCTACAGTTTAAACACAAGTTATAATTAACACTCCCTTTTAAGAATGGCTAGAAAACGCACTGGGGCCGGCTGTACGAAGGAGCGAATTTTTCAAACTTTGTAAAACTGACAATTGATCGGTATACCTAAAACCCAGAATAAAGTTATCTTTAGAATTATTGTGGGCAGGGATGGATCCAGCATGATCTGGTAGGGGGGGGGGGGGTGCTCTGCCAGCTCTGGTGCCGAGTTGTGTCGGTCATGTGTGCCGTCCGCCCATCAACTTGCTTGACTACTGCAAAGTCTTGCTTGACTATTGTATTTGAATTGTAATTGTTATTCACAGTTTGCTAATTATCATCATGTTATTACTCAAATTACTGTATCTCATTTCGTCTCTAATAATTTTTTGCTTTATCATGAAAAATAGCACCCCCTGGCCAGGGGGTGCACACCCCTCCAGTAAATCCATCTCCCTGACCCCCTGCACCCCCTCTGGCCAGGGCAAGGGGGGTGCACTCCCCAGTAAATCCATCCCTGATTGTGGAGTCCATATCAGCAGTTTCACATGCAGCTTTGCATAACGGCAAAGGTTAAAAAATCAATATCTGTCTGGTGGGCAGCGCCACCCGGTCTTCGTACAACCGGCAATATAATTTTTTTCTCTAACACATATCATTCATTACCGTCGCCATCGTTTCGCCTCGATGAAGAATATAGAGATGATGAACGGAGCCCAGTGATGGACACATGGGGTGAGGTAAGACGCGGAAGATGTGGAAATCTTGACCAAATGTGTCCGCAGTGAACAGAAGAGAACCACTGGAATAGAAAGTGAAAATAACTTTGATATACGTGCGTTTACTAGTAAGAACAAGCTTTCGTTGGTAGGGATGTAACTACCTGAAAAATATAAGGGGACAATTTTTATATATCTCCTTATAGGCAGTAGTCTTAATTGCAATAGAAAGATGGGTCAACATTTCTATAAAGCAGGCAGTAGTCTTAATTGCAATAGAAAGATGGGTCAACATTTCTATAAAGCAGGCAGTAGTCTTAATTGCAATTATAGAAAGAAGTGTCACCATTTCTATAGAGCATGCCTGCAGAGTTTATTTACGTAGAGATAGCTAAGGATTTTTGGAGTTGTTAGTCAAGAATTCCAGGTTTGAATAGCTCAAGCTCCAATGTCTTCACATGATTTTTGGAGTGGGCCTATAACTTCAACATTCTTAAATAATTCAACTACGTTTTGAAGTTTTCAAGTACCCATTTTGAATTTAGAGTTTGCCTCTTTAAAGTATGGCGGTATATCATCACTTCATGGTTCCCTAGCTGACTCTGTGACAGCCATGTTCTGAAGTTGATGACGATTTTCCACCTCTAACACTTAGTACTGACACGTGCCAAAACATTGACATTATTAAGTTTACGGTTGCACGAGGGTTTACCTTGAGTCAAAAGCCAAGGCAGCAATGGGCTGTCCTGTATGAGCGGGAAAATGTGCTATGGCTCTTTCTCGTAGTTGATCATCCTTCTAAATTAAACACATTTAATAAAATACGTTACAAAGTTGACTTACAAACCTGGTAAAGACTTAGACCAAATAACTATTCTACAGTATATATGCTTTAAGTAGAATTATACGTCATTTCTGACTGATGATGACTTTGAAATAAAGTCTAAAATGTACAATTTAAAAAGCTCGTCTTGTTTCAAAATCTTGAATTTCAAGTTCAGGCATTATTCTTTGAAATTTCAGTGCTTCTTTTTATACTTTCTGAAATTGTCGCCGTTGGCCATGAATTTTGAGAGCTTCTCAGTAGTTTTAATGAGCCAACTTGCCTCGTTTTCATCACGACCTTCAATATCGATGATCGTCACAACTCCAGGCGCGGTAGACTTGTGCGTAGTCTATATAATAAAAGTTCTCTTTTAAATGTTCCAATTACGCAATTATTAGAAACAATGTTTGCACATTTTTCTCTTGTCCAGCACTTACTGTATTGGAAGCAGCTTGTTCTACTTGGTTTTCAGACGCGTTAGAGCCAGCCCAACGGCCAACTGTTTCTCCTGTTGAAATATAAATTTCAAGAAACCGTTGTATAAAATGGAACACATTACGAAACCAGTAGGTATATCGTGATACTTACCAACAATTGACAATCCTTTCGAAAGTGTCTATTATGAGAAAAAATACAAATGAAACTATCATGAGAAAAAATACGAATGAAAGATTGTTAAAAATAAGTAAAATAAAACTTCAGTTATGGCGTTCAGTCCGAATCATATCGCAGAATCGTTCAACTACTCACTTTTGCAGCATTAAAAACAGCTGATGTATAAGAATGTAGTTTATCAGCTGAAACACCGCCTCTTGATTGGTGGATTGGTAACAACTAAATTGTAACAAACAAAACAATTACAATTTCTGGTGAAAAATTTAGCAGTTGTAATTCAGCGTGACTAACAATACCTATGGTACAGGATACCATAATTTGTATCTATTACAGTTTAAGCAACCTCTGCACCTTACCTTGCGATCAGCAAATGCTAGCCAGCGTGAACTGAGAGATACGGGATTTACATTTGGTTCAGGAGCTGGGAAACAATCTGGAAACACAGATGCACAGAATTCATATAGTCATCAATGGATGATTAAAACCTGGGTTACACTATATCAAAGTTTCTGTGATCACAGTAGAAATTTTGCATAGGTAAGTTCTGAAGGATTTGTAAGAATTTTTTTAGGAAACTGACTCAGTGCTAAACACCTCAAAACTTAGAATTTACCTAGTATGCAAAATTAATATTTTGTAATGGTACAAAGAACTATTTCCCAGGGTGCACACTTGGAGAGTAACATAATTATTATTATTAAAATAATTAAACATAATCTTCAGTACTTAATTGAGCCAAACTTACTTGTAATGCCAAACCTTTTGGACAAAGTAAATGCATCTAAGACAGCTATCTTTTCTTGCAGACAGACTACAACAACTCTAAATATGATAAAATGCAACTTGGTAGATATAACTCAGTATATAACTATATTATTAGTCTTTTGTAAGTATACAACCAATTAAAAATCTGACACAAGGAAATGCAATTTGTATTACCTTTTGTTTGATTGAATGTCATAGACTTCTGTTTTGAAATCAATTGCTTTCACTTCATCTCCAGTACTCAGAGACCAGAATTTGACAGTGGAATATGGACAAGGAGAGCTACATCAAATTCAAATGATATGGAAAGCAATTTCAGGTTATATTAATATCATGATGCAAATTTGAAAAGTCTCTCTGCATGGATGAATTCTGCTTTCTGTATTGGATCATGGACTGAGATGCACCATACTAGGGTAGCATGCCCAAACTAGGCATGCACTCTATCTCATCATTAACCCCCCCCCCCCCCCCCCCCCCCCCCCC